CCCCAAGCCTCTCAGGATGGAAACTTCACACCAGCTCTCTTTGTTTGCTTTCTAGGACTAACCTACATTTTGTCTGAGTGTAATACAGTACTAGTGGAACAGCGCTTTGACCTGCCGCTTTATTATAGTTATGACTATGTAGTTATGAGTACCGTAAGTCAGACAATCAGAATTACAAAAAGGAATATACTTGAATAAAAATCACTCCCAAGGAGATCACTTTTAGAGCCTTTTCTCAACTAAATTACAGAAAATCTTTTCCTGTTTACTACTTTTAAAATGTTATTTCAAAGACATTGATGTGGCTTCTGAACTGTTCCTCACTCAACAGAGAGGAAAAAGAGGTGCTAGGGGATGTTGCATGTAAGACATTTAAATAAGGAATTGTGCATAACAAATCAAGGACTAAATCTGGAAATCTGCGAGTGCTGAGAGCCCAAATCCCTCTGATTTCTTCATAAATGCCAAACTTCATCCCATATTTGCAAAGAACACCCTAAGACTACAGCAGAACATATTTGTCATATAGGCCCCAAAGAGTCTGAAAAAAACAGAAATCTCTTCCTTTGGAAGACCAGAACAGTTACCGGTACAAGTGGCAAGATATGTGATACAGGCAACTTAATTACGTGGATATATATCATTAGTGCATACTAGGAGAGAGGAAGGGTTACAGCTGTGTGTAGAAATGTAGACGGAAGTTGATAGCTCAGATGGTTTTTATCATGTTTTATGGCTTTTGGCAGTGAAATATTCTGCTATTTATTTCCATAATTCTTCTGCCTTTATTACTTAATTCTCATGCTTACACTGTAATTGGAAACTGCTAAGTTAAGTTAATAACATATTTTTTAGAAAGCGGGTGGGCAAGAGGATGAGAAAAGAACGTTAAAGCGATTAAAGGATGCCAGCCTCCAGCCTCATCCCAAGGCCCTGGCCATGTTCCATCCTGTTCCTTGAAGCTCCTCTGCATCCCCTGAGATGCTCCAAAAGTGGCATTGCAAAGGTCAAAATTTCAGCCATAAATCTCAGCATGGCTCCCTTTGGACACCGGCTAACAGATGATCTTTTAACTGAAGCACAGGAGATACAAGGGATCACATGCTGAAAATTTTTATCACCACCACTATGATCCAAGTCAGCAGTCATAGCAAGGAAGGCACTTAGCTAACTCAAGTCTTCAGGAAGGAGCTTAGTCCCGTGAGGTGCCAGGCATACCCATTATCATGAAGACACCTTAAACTTCCGATGAACTAACTCTGATCCTCTTGGGAAGCCTCTGGCACTTCGGGGGTATGGATATGAACTGACACCAAAAAAAAAAACCCTGGTCTGCATGTTAAGCTCTAAAGGCCATAAAGCCAGTGGTAACTGCTCCTGAGAACGACTCCTCCAGAAGAGGTGCCTCAAGAGGAGGAGGCCCCGTCCTCGCATCAAGTCCCATGCTGAAGTACAAATGAAAGATATTAGCTCTGCTATCCAAAATCCCAGGAGCACCCGCCGTGCCTCCAGTAAGACCCTCAAGCTGTTCGCCAGAAAAAGCAGCCCAGCTCTACAGTAAAATCTGTCAGAACTACACACACAGGTCATCAAGGGAAGGGGAGGCAAAACTCCTATAAACTTTTAAGAAAAATAAGAGCCTAATCCATAAAAGTTTTTAAAGTTTGTCAGACTGTGTAACCTAAATATTTGCAATGTTTCCCTTATTTTTACAAGAAATACTGCTAATACTGAGGGAATGTAAAACACTTATCTAAGCCAAGAACAGAAAGTTTTTAATGGCAAACACTAACAATCTCTTGCATATAAATATGGAAAGTATTTTCAATATACAGTCGACACAATTAAAACTACAAACATTTGACACGGGGCAGCCGGCTGTTATGGTTAGTCTGTGCTCCTGAGACTTAGTCATGCTGAAAATACAGCAACGTCTTTAACAACTGCATATACGAGGAGTTCACTTTTTCACGCACACTGCACATTTCTGCAAGGACACTTCTGATCTTGGAGGCACCGCTTTAGAATTTAATTCAATTTAATGACCTCTGTGGCCGTTAACGACATCTCCTGCTGCTGTACTACATTGCGCATATATAAGAAAGCAAAAAACGTATCAATTAAAAATATATCAGGTTAATAACACTTTGTCTAGTAAAAAGGCAATAGCAATCAATAGTTGTATTGTTTTCTTTTTAAAATTCAAACTGAATTTCATTTAAAACATGTAGGTACAGAGGAATTTTGAAAGACAAAGATATCTTGCTCATAACTTCTCAGATATCTTTCTCCATTTATTAATCTCTGACTTTGTTTCTACTCAGGCAAAAAGGAATAGTAACTCATGCAGGCAGGTAGGTGTTCATGGTCAGTACTATTCTCTAGTCAACTGTAAAAATAGGCTTTGATTAGGAATGCGTGGGGTAGACCTCTTTTTTCCTTTAATAAGTCTGCACGTGCCAACTAAGTTCACATGGGCAGTTTCAGGGAGACTGGCAATCAAGAAGCGAAAGTCCTACCTTGAACTTGAAAAATCTGGTTTCTCTAAAGCCATAAACTGCAGCTGCCATCAGAAACAGACCCTATTGCTTTTCTTTTTCACTTTCCAGGGCAAGCAAATCAAATCTATTTCCTGTTACAGCCCATAGTTATAGTTTAATTCTATCTTATGACTTAAAGACTAAAATATTTGAGAACCACTAGGATTTTTCCACCCATTTTAAAGGGGAAAAATCCCAAACTAGAAACAGATGTTTTATAATGTATTTCACTTATTTTGGCCACCCATAGAGCTGTGGCGTATGTTAGTGCCAACCAAGCTAGAAACAACAACATTCTGCAGAAATACTATGTAATATATTTAAGGATGACTGGCCATGGGCAGCTCCTTTCAGTAAGACCCTATTTAATAAGTAATTTTCAACGATGGGGGAATCAAATAGGAATTACTGAAGATGTAAGTGGAACTGCCACACTTGGGCAGTTCCTCCAGGGATTCGTAAACTTTATGCAGCTTGTTACGTTATTGTACCCCAAAGGATAGCTTGGAAAGTAGAGGATCAATGTATACATTGAAAACGGATGAGGTAGATGAAATAAGAACGACTGAAGATAATATCCTCAGCATGATAGCATGCAAATAACAGCCAGTAGGTGGATACTGTATAGCAAACAATTATTCTCGAGCCATTGAATAGCTGAAGAAGTTCCAACAAATTAAAACGGTCTTGCCCAAACAATTGTTGGACGTTGGCTAGTATAAACCCTTCACTTTTTTCTGTGTTTATGAATGGAGGCAAAGACACTTTGAAAGTTAAACCCATGAGGCTCCTAACAGTTACTGTGGCACTTGCTGATAAGGTATCTCGTGAAACTTAAGAGTGAAGCGAGGCACATTGAGATTTCTCCTGTATCTATTCTTATTTAGACTGAGAAATCATTTTTCAGCAACAGTACCAGTTTAACAGAACACCTTCAGTACGGTACTGCAGGCTGGGGGACAAAATGATCCTAACCATAAAGAATCGTTGCTCTCAAAACATTTCTGGTTTATTGACAATTTACTGCATAGAACACAGAGGGTATCATGTGGATATAATTTACTCCTCTGCCAAACACATTATAGGGAAAGCATAAGAAAAGGACAATGGTTATATTTGAAGAAGATAGAACAGCATTCAAAGTTTTTAAACTGGTACGGTTTAGCTTCCTAACCACATATCCAAAAAATATATATTTTTCACCTTCCTCCTCAGGAGTAGGGTAAAAAGTGAATTGCAGAAGTTAATTAGAAAGTAACTAAAATGTGAAAGCTTGGCAATTCAATAGAACAAACAACAGTACAGACTTTGGGCACATATATGGGATTAGATTCTTAGAATGTGCCCTTTTAATAAAATCATTCTACTTTTAAATGAAATGACCAAAAATTATTTGAACTTAATAAACACATACTAAGTTTATTATTATCAAACCAAGTGCATATAGAAAAAACTCACTTTAATCCAGAAACCTGCTTAAAGCAGTTTAAAAACAAAATATCTTTTACAATTAATCCTCCAGGTAAAGCAGTTCTAACTGTGATTATCTGGCATTTGCCAGTGCTTTCCTTCCCAGGCAGGCACGCTCATTTGAACTTGAAAAAGCTGGAATGCCAAAAGTGCCTCCCCAATATGTTGACTGAGGACTGTAATTCATCTAAATTATGCAACTGGATTCCCACAGCTGGCCCACAGCTCGGCTTAAAGCTCAATCCAATGCTAATGATCCTGGCTGCTAATATTGTCCCACTTGCAGACAAGGTAATATAGCCAGCAACTTATATTGAAGTTCTGACACTAATTAACAGAGCAAGCAAATGTTGACATGAGTGACAAAGGCTGGTTAACAGTTACCGTGAGACCAACGCTGCCAGCTGGCTTTTTTTTTTTTCTGTAACGTTTTGCAGTAATGCTATCTTTCTTATTTCTTAGGACATTGCTTATAATCGGTTTGTATGCATTTTGTTTCAAGTTAGAAACAAAGCAGGACCGGGAAAAAAAAAAAAAGAAGAGAAAAAAAGCCAGCTACAGCAGCAAGACCACCGATTGAGACAAGTTATCAGCAAGACAGCATGCAAGCAGCATAACTTGGAGGATGCATGGGGCACCGCAGCATAGGAATTCTTATCCTATATAAAGCTAGGTAGCTTTGTACAAACAGCCTTTGGTTTCTTGTTTCTGGCCTACCTGGACAGTACCAAAACATGTTTATCATATTATACAAGCCCAGAACCCGAACTGCAAGCAGTTAAAAACTGAAGGTCACTATGCTGCAAAATTAAAACATGCTTCTATGCTTAAGCTACACAGACAACGATAAAACAAAGCCTCCACAACCACCTGTAATAATATGCCTGTTCAGCCAGCAATTCCAAAGTACTCAGCAAAACAAGGTAGACATTTTCTGCAGCTGGTTTTACATGTACATTCCTGCCAAATTGTTGTCTCGTCTCCTCTTACCTTCACATTAGTCCGGAGTGCACAGTAACATGCAAAAAACATTGCAGTAAACAAGGAGCATATGGACCAGTATTCAGCGTCTCTGCTCTGCACAAACGGTACACACACGATCCCGAGCATGTGCTACTAAGGAGCATCCGTTCTCTCTGTCAGTTTGAAAATGCATTGATCTCTGGTTTTCTGACTACAAAAAGATATGTCTTGAAGGCACTGAGTGAAAGCTACATGTCTCTTCATCGACTATATATAGCAATATGCCCAGTAATTTCAATTAGCCGAGAATTCAGCGTCTGAAACTTGGACCTCAGTTGCTTTTCCTTCCAGCATTTTAAATTCAGGGGGGAAAAAGGAGGGGGAACTCACCCAGAGGGGAAAGGTGAGGAATTAAAATGTAAGCAGCGAGTTACTTATATTTCCCCCCGGCTTTGATGCTTTTCTCTTCCATATTTTACAAACGTTATACATGGGAAATGAATAAAGGATTCCTTCCAATTCTCAAATTTACTGTAGATTCTGCACTGTTTCTGTCTGGTCTTGTTAAAGATGCAGCATCCCTTTTAACAAAGACAACGTCATCAGTCATGACAGATTCAACATGTTCTACTTACAAATACAGTCTCTGATTAAGGACAATAGCTGGCTGGCTTATTAATGTTTCCTCAAATGCAAGTTCAGTCCCCTGTGCTAATCTATTTTTAAATAAAAAGTCCCACCTACTCCTTCACTCTCCTTTAATAAAAATGCAGCGGACTAGTTCTAAAGAGCCTGAATTTCATTGTGCTCCAAGCTAAGACACTGGACATTGTTTTAAAACTGTGTTTTCTTGCTTAGCTGTGATAAGAAACACAGTGGAAAAATTAAAATGAAAGCAGAAAAATCCTAGAGAAAACTATGCCCTCACATTTGTCACTACTGATTCTGAATATAAAATGCTCGAATCTCTTCCCGAAAGAGGGAACTCAGAACCTAGCCAGAAGGCAAAGCTTTAATTCACAAGCACAAAAAATAAGATCAAGCCACTTCTTTCGCTCCTGTCAACCACTGGATGCTACAAATTAACTGATTGTTTACTAGACTGCAGGGGCGCAAAGTCAAAGACTCGGCTCCTTGTTTACAGCGCCGGGAACCGCCGATATTCATACTGAATTATGAAGCAGTCTTCAGGAATGAAATCAGGAAAGAGCCTCTGTGTTTTTGCACTGCAGCAGATACCGTGGGAGGCAAAGAGTGGAAAAGGCTTTACTACCCCCCTCTCTATCAGCACAGAGCAAATTGTGTAGGATAAGCATAACTTAATAGAAATATCTGCAGTGACTTTTAGGATTTTTTTTAAGCAATGCTTTACATAACCCCTCTCCTCCTCCTCCCCACCAAAACCTGCAGAAATTACTGAAGTCCTGTCGGAGTCATTGGGCACCTTTTTGTGGGCAAGGAGGTGAAGAAGCTTAAGCAGAAGGGCAGGTGTTTAAGGAAGCAACACCAGGGGAGGGGAAAAGACAGCAAGGTTTTTTCAACATCTTCCTAAAGACAAGCTCCCAGAAACTGGCGTCAATTCCAAGTGAAAAGCTATTTTTAGCCCATCATTGTTTGTGCCTTTTTTTAGGAACGAAAGAGGCAGTCGTATTTAAAGCTAGATGTTGCTCTATAACCTATCCTAAGACAGCCGCTTAATTTGATCCCCAGCTCCATCTGTCATACAAATTAAGTAATTAGTAATCACAACCTTCTTTGGCATAAGCAGTGACTTCTAGAACAGAATAGACAGACCTCGTTCTTAACGCTAATTCTGCAACTTTAACTGCTAATAAAACAGGAGTCTAGATGCCACAGTTCAGAAAGCTGGAATATCCCAAAGTTATGACAGTTTCAGACTTCTGTCGCAGCAATTTGTGACAAAGAAGCTAAAACGTAGTAACATGTTGCTCAGCAAAAGCATGCGAGAATTAATTGATGTATTTTTTTGACCTCCCTTAAATGAATAGAAAAGGAAAGCAATCATGGTTTATTTTGCAGTACAGCACATTAATAATTAAAATCAGGCATCTAATTCATTGAAAAAATGTCACAGAACTTCAGGAATGGTGATCCACTGGAGCAACGTGATTCAAAAGCAAAGATGAATAGATGCAGAGCTCTGAACAGCTAGGCAAGGTTCAGGCGAGCATGTAGTCGCCTAAGAAAATCAAATTCAAGTCTCCTTTCTGCCAAAGGAATTACATGAGGTTTCAGTCAGCGAAGCCTCTGAAACAGCTTTCTACTTCATAATCCTAAAAAGTTAATGTTTCTGTTTTTAGGCACACCAACCCAACACAAGTTAACCAGGGGCCTTACAAAAAGAAAGCAGAGTTGGGCAAATACAGAACAATGCAGTATAAATGACTCGCAGCTGACCACCTGTATAAAAGACTTCAGATTCACTGAGGAAAATAAGAAATAATACAGTCCTGAAGTCTTTACTCAGGAAAATCTCCCACAGCTACTGAATGTCTAGAAGGAAAAGTTGTCTAGGAAACTGCAGACCCTGACCCTCATAACACCGTAATGGTAAAAAGGGAAGACTCCCATGCCTGTGGCAGATGCCTCCTACAATAACTGTGGGGCATCTGAGAATTTGCTGGAAAATTGAAACCTCTGCACAAACCAACAAAGTATTGCTTTGAGAGCAGACCAACCTAACACATTTAGCACGGGCTACTTCAGGTAATCTGCACAAGCAGATACCTGCAGGGTTTGTTCACCTCTGCCAAAACATTTCTTATTGCAGCGGTCTAATTTTTAAAGGCAGTGTTCTCCTCAAAGAACATACATACAATATTTTGACTAATAGCTACTCAAGAGCATCATTCATTGGTCATATTTACTATGACCATAGTAAATGACTATGACTTGACATAAAGCTCATAACAATGAATGGGGAAAAAGCCTTGTCCAAGTCTGCCAGATATACCAAAAATAGTAGAATATTTCAAATGCTCAGGACTTCTTAAACATAAGACCACAGGGAAGAGCCTCACAGATGAAAGATGTCACTCCAATTATAAAAAAAATAAAGGTTAGGTATAAAATCAGTAGAGAGACAGTAGTCCAAAAAAAGCCACAGAAAAATCTGTCTGAGAGGTTCAATCCCTCTTTAAAAAGACACACAACTTATGACCTGAATATTCTTATATTAGGGAAACCACTGGAGCCATTATCTTCAGCTGTGTAATTTCCTCATTACTTTATGCTCTTAGGCCTTCAGAAAGGAAAAAAGGAACACTTAGAAGGAAATTCTGGTTGTCTGCAGAGGTTCAAATGGAGTTGAGGGCACACGCTGCCCTGGCGGACCTTGATCTCACGAGGAGGGACAGCACTTGCGTCAGGCATCCTGCCAGCTCCTTTGCAACCGCAGGCAGAGCGCAACAGCCCTACGACTGCCCAGAAGTTGTAGTAGTCATAGTCATAGTCATAGTCATAGTCATAGTAATAATAATAATAATAATAATAATAATAATAATAATAATAATAGTGTACTGCCATTGTATCCTGAAGTTGTAGTCAGGGACTAGTCCTCCATTGTACTATGGCACTATATAAGCACAAAATAGACAGTACTTGGAAAATCATATAGGGAAACAATGAAACTATGTTGGAGAGCGATATTTTCAGCCTCAGAAGCCTAACTGCTTTCATATTTTTTCCCAAGCATCATGGAAAGAGTTTTTTAGTGATATTTTAAAGTAGAATGACAGTAAAAACAACAGACTAAAAATACAGTAAAGAAGGCAGTGTTGCTTCTCCAGCGTTTCTTCTACCATAGTGCAATGTACCTCATTACACTTATGTATCACATTTGTGGTTAAGTATTATAAATGGCCTTTAAGAGGCTTGCTGCAATGAGATGCATCTTTATCCAACAGTAAGCATGCCTTGATGAACACAATCAGAGCAGCTATCATCTAAAAAACCCAGAAAATAGAGAGGGAAAGGACTGAAGACAAGAGAGCCTTGCACTCTGAATGGACAGAGGAAGAGAGAGAATGATACTCCTGTTCTTGCAAAGAGAGGAGAACGCATGTTTGCAGAGAGAGGTGGTGGTTTGCAAAGCCGTCCATAAGATCTGACCCCGCAAATCTTATCAGTGTCAGTGTCGATAATCTGGGCCACTGCCCTACATGAGCCAAAGGTGCAATTCTCCCTCTTTTTGCAGTGATGCTGTAGGCGCTGGCTCGCGCAGTCATGGCACCATGACTACACCTAGGTTCCACCACAC